CAGCAACAGCAGCAGCAGCAGAAGACACAAAAGCTGCTGCTGCTGCTGCACCAATTGCAGCAGCAGAGCCGTGGGGCTGCCGAGCCGAAGACACTTTTGTAGCGGAGGCGCAAATCGATGATATCGCAAAACTCTTCATACGGTAAACCAAGCAGGTTCTGCTGCTGCTGCTGCTGCTGCTGCTCATGGTGCTGCTGCTGCTGCTCATGGTGCTGCAGCTCATGCTGCTGCTGATGCTGCTGCTGCTCATGGTGCTGCCGCTGCTGCTCATGGTGCGGCTGTTCATGCTGCTGCTGCTGCTGCTCGTGTTGCTGTTTCTGGTTATGCTGGTGCTGCAGCTACTGTTGCTGCTGATGTGTACGTACAGCTGAATTGTTTGTTTGAGGTGTGCAGGAGAGACAAAGAAGGAAAACAAATCGTAGAAATACAACAAACGAATGGAGCGTCGTTTAGGATAGACCCTTACGCCAACGTGGGCTGCTGCTGCTGCTGCTGCTGCTGCTTTTTGCTGTTTTCCTGCTGCTGATGCTGCTTGGGAGGTGTGTTCGTGCTTGCCTTGATGAATTCTAGCTGCTGTTTCTGCTGCTGTTGCAGCTGCCTATGAATGCTGCTGCGGCTGCATATGGCTGCTGCTACTGCTGCTGCTGCTGCTGCAGATCCCGTCTCTGTATTGTTTTGTCTGCCTACTCATGAGATTAAAGCTTTTAAGGGAAACGCGGAAGTCTACACTGTGGGGTAAGACACGAGATTGTTGCTGTTGCTGCTGCTGCTGCTGCTGCTGCTGCTGCTGCTGCTGTAGTTGCTGGAGTTTATGCTTCTGCCTCTACTGGCTCCGCAGCAGCCCCTATATTGCCTTGCTGCTGCTGCTGCTGCTGCTGCTAAATCTACCAACCCGTTTTTCTACCTTCTGCAGTGCTGCTGTTTCTGCTGTTGCTGCTGCTGCTGCTGTTGCTGCTGCTGCTGCTGTTGCTGCTGCTGCTGCTGCTGCAGACGCGACGGAGTGCCTCGGAACAAAGCGGGAGAAGAAATTGAGGCAGAGAAAAACGCAAGAGGAGGCGAAGGGGCCGTCAGTGCATCAGAAGCAGCAGCAGCAGCAGCAGGAGAAGCAGCAGCAGCACCAGCAGCAGCGGCAGCAGCAGGAGACAGCGAGGCTGCTGCTGCTGGTTCTGTTGTTTGGCCTCCTCGCCTTTTCGCTGTCTCTTCAGCAACGGGAGAAGCAGAGGAGTTAATAACGCTGCAGTAGGTGTATATTCATTTATATATATATTATTTATTTTATTTTTATTTATATTTGTTTTTATTTTTGTTGTTTTATTAATAACTCTGATTATCCTTTGTCTCATTTGTCTGTCTCTTCGTTATTTTGTCTGTAAAAACACACACACACACACACACACAATATTTTACTGTTTTATTAATAATTATTATTATTATTTGCTTTATTCTTCTTGTTTTTGTTTGATTAAATCTATTTCTTCGTTGTCTGCTGTGTTGTCTTTTTGCTGTTTTGTTTGTTTTATTTCTTTTGCTGTTTTGTTTGTTTTATTTGTTTTGCTGTTTTGTTTGTTTTATTTGTTTTGCTGTTTTGTTTGTTTGTTTGTTTTGTTTGTTTGTTTGTTTGTTTGTTTGTTTATTTTGTTTATTTTGTTTATTTTGTTTGTTTTGTTTGTTCGTTTTTTTGTTTTGGTTTGCAACGCGCCGCTTCATTTCCTCATCTCTCGCGGCCTCTAAACCCTAAACCCTAAACCCTAAACCCTAAACCCTTACAATACCCGCTGCACATGCACTCGGCAGCCTATCTGTGTGTGTCTCTATGTCTCCACCGTTGCTGCTGCTGCTGCTGCTGCTGCTGCTATTATCCCTGCTGCTTCTGCTGCTGCTGCTATTATCCCTGCTGTTTCTGCTGCTTTTGTTGCTGTTTTTGCTATTATCACTGCTGCTGCTGTCGCTTTTGTTGCTGCTGCTGCTATTATCCCATCTGCTGCTGCTGCTGGTGCTGCTGCTGCTGCTGCTGCTGTTGCAGGCAGTTTGCTGCCTTGCAGCAAGCTACAGAAGGAGACAGCAATTCATATTGGGAGGCGTATTCAAAGTGCGAAGGATATAACGAGTTCCGTTTGGTGCAGATAAAACATAAAAAAAATAAAGCAGCAACCAGAGTAACTAAACTGCCTCAGCCACGGGTACATCCACCTGCTGCTGCTGCTGCTGCTGCTGCTGATCATGCTGATGCTGCTGCTGCTGCTGCTGATCATGCTGATGCTGCTGCTGCTGCTGCTGTTGCAAGTTCTGCTGCTGTTGCTGATGCTGCTGCTGCATGTCCTGCTGCTGTTGCTGATGCTGCTGCTGCTGCTGCTGCTGCAAGTTCTGCTGCTGTTGCGGTGCTACTGCTGCTGGTTCTAGGTTTGATGCTTCTGCTGATCTTAGGACTGCTGCTTCTGCAGCTTGTCTCGTTGCTGCTTATCCTGTTGTTGCTGTTGCTGCTGGTGCTGTTGCTGCTGGCGATGCTCCACGTTCGGCTGCTGCTGCTGCTGCTGCTGCTGCTGCAGGAAGAAGAAGCATTATCTTTGTGGGAGAGACTTCAATCAAAAGAAGATGAAGATGCAGCCAAAGAGCCCGAAGCCCTGACCACCGTTCGGTACCTCACCATACACCCCAAAGTGTTTAGGGTTTAGGGTTTAGGGTTTAGGGTTGAGTGCATATGGTTTATGGTTTAGGGTTTAGGGTTTAGAGCATAGGATCCTTCTTCGGGCAGCCATATACTGTCAATCACAGACCCTAAACCCTAAACCCTAAACCCTAAACCCTAAACCCCAGCCTTTCTAGTACGGGCAAGAATATGTCTGTCTCCATCACCAAAGCCGCAAGACTTCTGATTGCTGCTTAGGCTTATTTAGGGTTTAGAAGTTTATGCTTAGGGTTTAGGGTTTAGGGTTTAGGGTTTAGGGTTTAGGGTTTAGGGTTTGCGCAGGGAGTTTCGGGTGTTTCCTGCTGCGGGGCCCCAAGAGATGCGGCGCATAGAGCGGGGGTTTGCTGCTTATTTAACCTGCGAAGCAGCAGCAGGAAGGCCTGTGCAGCTGCTGCACAACGGAGACAAAAGGAGACACCCAGAAGGTGAGATTAGCTGCTAATAGACGCACTGCTGCTGCTGCTGCTGCTGCTGTTGCTGTTGCGCCAGCTGCTGCTGTCGCTCCTGCTGCTGCTGCTGCTGCTGCTTCAAAACAGCGACAACAAGCTAAACGCAAACAGCAGCAGCAGAAGCAACAGCAGCAGCAGAAGCAACAGCAAATAATGCTGTAACAACAACAGCAACAACAGCAGCAGCTGCAGCAACCACAGGTGGTGCTGCAACAGCAGTTGGTTCGCTGCATCAGCATCAAACCAACTGCGTCAGCAGCAGCACCGTGAGCAGCAGCAGCAGCACCAGATGCAGCAGCAGCAGCAGCACCAGCAGCTAGGCTTGAAGCCTCAGTAGCTGCGCACGCTTAAAACGTTTTGCTGCTACTGCAGCAGCGGACTTCGCAGCTGTTGTTTATTTTGTTTTGTTTATTTCTTTATTTTATTTATTTATTTATTTTATTGTTTAATTTATTTAATTTATTTAATTAATTTATTTGATTTGTTTGCCTTACTAAATATATACTGCCTTCATATACCAACAACAGCTTTTTCTTCTCTAAGACTTTTTCTTTCTTTCCGCTGCTGCTGCTGCTGCTGCTGCTGCTGCTGCTGCCGCTGTTGCTGCTGTTGCTGCTGTTGCTGCTGCTGGTGATGGTGGTGATATATTATGAATCAGGCGGAAGTGTATTTTCTTCTCGGTCTTCTGTTGCTGCTCGGGGCTCTCTTGCTGCTGCAGCACCAACCCGCATGCAGCAGGAACTCAACGCAATCCTTTACAGACGCGCAGCAATTCAAAAGCTGCAGAGGTGCGCACACCTGCTGCTGCTCTTTCTGCTGCTGCTGCTGCTGCTGCTGCTGCGGCTGCTGTTGCTGTTGCAGTTGGTGCGGCTGGTGTTGCTGATGCAGTTGGTGCGGCTACTGCTGGTGTTGCTGCTGTAGCTGGGGTTGCTGCTGCTGCTGCTCCTGTTGCTGCTGGTCCTGCGGATACTGCTGCTGCTGCGGCTACTGCTGCTGCTGCTGATGCTGCACATTCCCCGGCAACTGCTGCTGCTGATGGTACTGCTCGTGTAGCTACTGGTGCTGTTGCTGCTGCTGCTGCTGCTGCACCTGCTGCGGACCCTGCTGCTGCGGCTGCTGCGGCGGCGGCTGCAGTTGCTGCTACTTGTGCTGCTGCAGCAGCTGCTGCTGCTTCTAGTGCTACTGCTGCGCCTGCTGCTGCTGCTGCTGCCAGTGCAGCTGCGATTGTTCGTGTTGCTGTTTTATTTGCTGCTGGGCCTCTGCTGAATCTCTTGCTGCTGGTGTCCCTGGAGTTGGGGCTGCTGCTGCAAGAGCTTTCATGATTGTTATTGCTGCTGCTGCTGCTGTTCTTGCTGCTGCTGTTCTTGCTGCTGCTGTTGCTGTTCTTGCTGCTGCTGCTGAGAGAGATGCCAGCAAACTGCCTAAGAGGCAGACAATTGGAGAGGCAGAGGATTCATAGCAGCTGCAGCAGCAGCAGCAGCAGCATTGAACGCAAGCAGCAGCAGCAAACCAAAAGCGTAAAAACAGATGCGTAGAGAAAGACATTTTGGCCCCGCAGCCTAGAAGCCCATAGCAGCAGCAGCAGCAGCAACAGCAGCAGTAGCACCAGCAGCAATCGCAGCTGCAGCAACAGTAATAGCAGCGATAGAACCACTAGCAGCAGCAGGAATAGCAGCAGCAACAACAATACCAGCAACGCCAGCAGCAATAGCAGCAACAACAATAGCAGTAGCAACAACAGTAACGGCAACAAGAACAATAGCCGCAATAACAGTAACAGCAGCAGCAGCAGCAGCAGCAGCAACAGCAACAGCAGCATTTGTCCCTGGTGTTAATAACAGCCTCATTGGCTGTCTCCTTTCCAGCGGCTATCTCCTCACCTCACAACACAAATCTGCCGCCCTTTATTCATGCAGCAGCAGCAGCAGCAGCGGCAGCAGCAGCAGCAACAGCAGCAGCAGCAGCAGCAGCAGGGTTAAAGGCCGCTGTATTCACCCGTTTGCTTTCCTCTGCAGGCAGCAACCCACTGACAGCCCCTCTACACAGCAGCAGCAGCAGCAGCAACAGCAACAGCATGAACAGCAACAGCAACAGCAGCAGCAGGAGCTGCAGAAGCGTCGAGCAGCAGCCTCCAGCAACGCTGTTGCTGCAGCAGCTGCAAGGGCTGCCTGCGCCCGCAGAAGAGCAGCAGCTGCAGCAGAAGCAGCAGAAGCAGATGCAGCAGCAGCAGCAGCAGCAGCAGCAGCAAGGAAACAACAAACCCCCGACCTCTGGGAAACTAAAAATCTACACTCAGCCACACAGCTCCCCCAGCAGCCCGCTGCAGCTACAGCAGCAGCAGCAGCAGCAGCAACACCAACAACAACAGCAACGACACCAACAAGCACAACAGCAGCAGCAGCAAAAGCTGCTGCTGCACTTGGAGAGGCCCTTGCAGTAGCGGCATCTCGCGCTCTCTCACAAACCCCTACAGAAGAAGGTGAATAAGAGAGACACCCTAAACCCTAAACCCTAAACCCTAAACCCTAAACCCTCAAATCAGCATCATACTGGGGCTTTGCACGCATACCCAGCCTCTTAAACCCGAATTGTAAACCCTCTATCTAAACCCTTATTCTAATCCCTACTTCAAAACCCTAATCCTAAACCCTAAACCCTAAACCCTAAACCCTAAATATCTTTTTGCTGCTGCTGCAGGTCGCCGTGTCAGAGCAGGCGAATCGAAGTGGAGTTGCTTGGGGCCCTTCAGCAGACGCGAAGAACCTCCTCAGCACTTTCCCTCACCCAGGCAGCAGCAGCAGCAGCAGCAGCAACAGCAACAGCAACAGCAGCAACAGCAGCAGCAACCACAGCAGCAGCAACTGCAAGGGGAAGTTCTGGCAGCTCAGCAAACCAACTCGGCGTTTAAAAGCTCAAAGTCGGCTGCAATCGCAACAAAAGCTGTAAACAAACTGTTCCTGCTGCTGCTGCTGCTGTTGCTGTTGCTGTTACCGTTGCTGCTGCTCTTGCAGCTGCAGAGGAGTTGAACTGCTGATGCCTTTAATACAACCGAAGAAAACTGTATCTATCCTGTCTTATTGCTTCTGCTGCTGTTGCTGCTGCTGCTGCTGCCTCTGTTTTTGCTGTTGCTGCTGCTGCCTCTGTTGTTGCTGCTGCTGCTGCTGCTGCAGGATGCTGAGAGCTGGGGTTGCTGCGATGCCTTGGAGGTGAGGCCCCCTGCTGTGGATTTCGGGTTCGTCTCCGCTGGCAGCTGCTGCTGCAGGGAGGTGTCTGTGAGGCTGCTGCTGCCCCGCAGCAGCAGATTTAAAGCAGAAATACAAGAAGTAAAGGGTGTTGCTGCTTCTGCCTTAGAGATAGTAGACGCAACAACAGGCCAAGTAAGCAAACCTGACGGCTGCTGCTGCTGCTGTGGCTGCTGGTGTGGCTGCTCCGCCTGCTGTAGTAGCTGCTGCTGCCGCGTCTAGAGCAGCGAATCTTAGTTCTGCTGCTGCAGTTGCTGCTGCTGCTACTGATTGACAGGGACTAGTCCCCGTCCCCAGCAGTGCCTCCGTTTGGCCACCTATATCTGCTGCTGCTGCTTCTGCTGCTGCTGCTTCTGCTGCTGCTGCTGCTGCTGCTGCTGCAGGTTGCTGCTGGCCTTCAGTGGCGGTGCAAGTTGCTGCTGCGCCTTCCCTCTGAGTTAGCAGCAGCAGCTGAGGGTGGAGACCGCAGCATTTCTGCTGTCCTCGCTGTCTCTACTGAACGCGAAAGCATCTTAGTGCGAATTCAAGCACAAGTTGCGGAAACTGCTGCTGCTGCTGGCGCTGCTGCAGCAGCAGCAGCAGCTGCTGCTGCTGCTGCGGGTTCAGATGCTGCTGCTGCTCCTGCTGGTCCCACAGGCGCAGCAGCAAAAATTGACGCAGCCTGTGCCGATGCTGCTGCTCCTGGTGGTGGTGGTGCTGCTGCTGCTGCAACTGATCCCACAGGAGCAGCAGAAGCAGCAGCAAATCGATGCTCGGAGCCGCTTATAGAATAAAAGGAGACAGTTAGTTGGCGGTGCCTCTGCTGTTAATATATTCTACCGAAACATTTTTGTAATAATATTATAATAAAATATATCATTCCTATAATCTTAGAGAAGCAGACCTCCCTCCTAAACCCTAAACCCTAAACCCTAAACCCTAAACCTCTTTTGTTCTCTGTAGGGCTGCCTTCTGTTTGTGCGTCTCTTTATCTCTTTATTTGTTTTTCTGTCTCATCCTGTTGCTGTCTATTTCAGTTTACATCCACATAAATACAAATACTAATATAATAAATATATATATATATATATTTATATATATATATATATTTATATATATATATATATATATATTCAACCTATGCCTGTCTCCTTCTGCTGTCTCTTCTTCGTTTTTTTGTTTGTCTCTCCATGCTCTGTCTCTCTTTTTGTTTTTTTGTCTCCACGCCCGGAGGTCGCAGTCTCTTAACAAACCCAAATAACATAGAGAGACTCCCAGCAGCAGCAACAGCAGCAGCAACAGCAGCATCAGCAGCAGCAGCAACAGAAGAAGAGAACACAGCACAAACACAACACAGACAGCAGCAGCAACAGCAGCAACTCAAAACTCATGACAGCAACAGCAGCAGCTAAAAACGAAGCAGCGACAGCAGCACAAGAAAAAAATAATAGACAAATAAATAATTTAATTTCAACAAAGAGAGAAGCCATCGAACCCCTTTGAGTGGGGCTCTCGGTTGCAGCAGCCTGCTGCTGCTGCAGCTGAAACTGCTGTTGCTGCTGTTAGTACTGCTGCTGCTGCTGCAGCTGCTTCTGCTTCAGCAGCACCTGCTGGTGTTACTGCTGCAGCTTCCAATCCCTCTCCCCCTGTAGCTATTACAATATCAGCAGCAGCAGCAGCAGCAGGTGCTGCAATTCCTGTTGCTGCTACTCCTACTACTGCAGCAGCAGCAGCTGCTGCTTCGTATCCACAGCAGCAGCAACAGCAGCACCACTACCAAGAGCAGCAGGAGGAGAAGCAGGAGAGAATAGATGTTGAAGATATATTGATAGAGTTATTAGAGTTGTTCTGCTTCAGCAATAGGATTAGCATGTATATGAACGCTAATAATTTTGATATCTTCTAAGGGTTTATATTTCTTGCCGACAGGCACTCGCTCGATCTTTTCCAGTGTATCCATACCATCTATCAGTCGACCAAACACCGTATACACCCCGTTCAAGTGAGGCTGACGAGAATATGTTATAAAAAACTGCGACCCGTTCGTATTCGGCGAACCCTGGTTAGCCATCGATAACACTCCACGGCGGTCGTGCTGTACACACGTATATATATTTGTATATATATATATATATATTTATATATTTGTATATATATATATATATATATATTTGTATATGGTCTATATGTATATATATGTATATTTATTTATTTATTTATTTTATAAATGTATATAAATCTGTATATATATATATATATATTTATATATGTATATATATATGTATATGTATATGTATATGTAAATGCATATATGTATATATACATATATATTTATATATGTATATATATTTATATGTATATATATTTATATGTTTATATATATATATATATATATCCAGCAGATATATATTTATATATAAGTTACGGTTAATGTCGAGACAAACTCATCTTCAAACAAATAAATAAATACATCAATAAACCACTTAATTAATTTTTTTAACGTAAATAAACAAATAATAAACAAACTAATTAACTTAAATATAATTAATTAAATAATTAATTAAATAATTAATTAAATAATTAATTAATTAATTATGTTTAAATTACCTTCAATGTAGAGACAAACTCATCTTCAAACAAACCGCCGTAGATCGATTGGCCGCCTTTGCCGGTGTTTGTTGGGTCCCCCATTTGTACAGCGAAGCCCTTTATATTTCTAAGCATATAAATAAATAAATAAATAAATAAATAAATAAATAAATAAATAAATAAATAAATGATATTTAATTAATTGAATGCAATTAAAACCAGATGAATAGCACACATGCAAGTAGAAGAAATTATTTATTTAGTTAAATTATTAATTAATTAATTGGTTTTAACTGCATCTGCAGCAGCAGCAGCAGCTGGTGCAGCAACAGCAGCAGCAGCAACAGCAGCAGCAGCAGCAGCAGCAGCAGCAGCAGAAAGTCATACCTGGTCACAATACAGCCATCGTAGGCATTAGAGGCACAGAGGGCCAAGAAGTTCTGAACAGCAGCAGCAGCAGCAGCAACAGCAGCAGCAGCAGCATGCAGGCATACAGTAACGGGATAATAAGGAGCTGCAACAGCAGCAGCAGGTTGAGCATCAGCAGATACAGCTGCAGCAGCTGGCGCAGCAGCAGAAGCGGCAGAAGCAGCAGCACCACACCGAGACTTCACCCAGTTTGAAGCACAGATGCAGGCAGCAGTGGTTGCTGCAGCATCACTGGCTCGTGCTGCTGCTGCAGTAGTGACAGCAGCACGTCAACAAACTGCAACAGCTGCAGCAGCAAGAGCAGCAGCAACAACAGCAGCAACAGCAACAGCAATTCTCCTTACTTTGCAGGTTCGTGGCGTTTGCTGGCAGAAGAGCTCCGCCTTTAAATCGCCGAGGGTGGTCTTCAGCGTCACAGACATCTTGCTGCTGCTGCTGCTGCTGCTGCTGTTGCTGCTGACACAGCTGCTGCTGCTGCTGCTGCTGCTGCTGCTGCTGGCGTCGTTGCTGCTGGTAGGTAAACGTATCTGGGTATGCTTTGAGGGCTCTAGAATATTAGGTCGTTGAAGAGCTGCTGCTTCTGCAGCAGCGCCACATGCAGTAGCAGCTACAGCAGCAGCAGCAGCAGCAGCAGCTTGAGCGGAAGGCCTTTTGTGTGCTATCTGGGGACAATTTTGATTCAGTGTAGAGCGCTGCAGTTCTTTTAATTGATTTAATTATTTTAATATCGAAGAAAACACAAAGAAAACAGCAAAACGCATGCAACAGCAATTGGGGCTGCGGCAGCAGCTGCAGGGGCCCCCCTACCTTTGTTCGTTAAATTTATTGCATTTGTCTTCTTCTAAACGTAGAAAAGAAAAACAAAAGAAGTGAAGTTAAACCATTATAACATCTGAATCAGTAACCTGGCCTAAAACTACCAGCAGCAACAGCAACAGCTGCAGCAGCTGCTGCTGCAGCAGCAGCAGCAGAAAGCTATGCAGCAGCAAATAGGGCTATTCAAACATGCAGGCGGAGCTATCCTTGCTGCAGCTGCAGCGGGGAGGGGCCCTAGCAGTGCTGCCAGTGGGGGCTGAGGGGGCCCTGCTCTCCTCTCCCTCAGCAACAGCAGCAGCAGCAACACCAGCAGGAGATGGATCGGCAGCAGCAGCAGCAAATGGAGCAGCAGCTGCTGCAGCAGATGAGCAGCAAGAGTCGCTGCTGCTGCTGCCTCTACTGCGGAGAACACCAGGGGCCCCCCTGGGGGCCCCCAAGGAGAGCAGTGCTTTAGAAGAGACAATATTGAGGGTGTATGTACAGCCCGACCCCAATGGAGATACAACAGCCAGCGATCTGTGGGGTGCTGCTTCAGGTTTGCTGCTGCATTATCTGCTGCAGCAGCAGCAGCTGCTGCAGCTGCAGCAGCGGCAGGTGCTGGAGTTAGGCTGCGGTCTAGGGGCCCCCAGCAGCCTCTGCTGGCTGTGTGGGGCCCCCTATGTCTTTGCAACTGACGCAGATGCTGCAGCACTATCTTTATGTCGCTGCAATCTGTCTCTAGCAGCAGCCCTGAGGGATCAGCTGCTTCCTGCTGCTTCTTCTGCTGCTGCTCCTGCTGCTGCTGGCGGGGCTGCTGCTGCTTCAGCAGCAGCAGCAAGAACGCTGGCTTCTGCTGCTGCGCAGCTGTTGCAGCGCATCCGGACGAAGATCAAACAGCAGCAACAGGAACAGCAACAGCAGCAGCAACAGCAGCAGCAGCAGCAGCAGGAAGAGAAGCTTGAGGTGTCTCGCCTGCTGCTAGAACTGCCGGAGGCCCCACGAGTTACTGTGGGGCCCCTAAAGTGGAGCGAAAGCCAGTCAGAGGTTCTACAGCAGCTGCAGCAGCTGCAGCAGCAGCAGCACCAGCAGCAGCAGCAGGGGCCCCCCTCGTTTGATTTGGTGTTGGCATCAGATGTTTTGTACTCCGACAGAGCAGCACTCCTGCTTGCAAATACAATAAAAAGCATTGCAGCAGCAGCAGCAGCAGCAGCAGCAACAGCAGATGCTGCAGCACCTGCTCGCCCTCACCGCTGCAGCCCACCCACCTTTTTGTGCCTTATAAGCCACCAAGTGCGGCACGCAGTGTACATGCAGCCGCAGCCGCAGCCGCAGCAGCAGCAGCAGCAGCAGCAGCAGCAGTGGGAGGTGAAGAAAGAAGCAGCAGATAGCTGCCTGCAAACCTTTATTAAGCAATTTTGTCTCCCCGAAGGAGACAAAAAAAAATCGCTGGCTGCGCACTATGCAGCAAAAGCCCTAACGCAGCAGCAATCCCAAACAGCAGCAGCAGCAGAACCTATGGCTGCTGCTGCTGCTGCTGCTGCGCCTGCAGCAGCGGACTCGGCAAGCGAGCTGTACGTACACCTGATAAAAGGAGGCGCTGCAGCAGCAGCAGCAGAGCTTGACCTCCATGAAGGAGACGTCTGCCTCGTTGCTGTTGCTGCAGACCCTCAGCTGTTGCTGCTGCTGCCCCCAGCCGTTGCACCGGCTGCGGCTGTTTAGCTGTGCCCACCTAGCCAGCTAGCTAGCTAGCTAGCTATTTAGCTAGCTAGCTAGCCAGTAAAGAAGGTCTGGGGGAGGCTGCAGCTAAAAGGGCCTCCGGGTGTACGCACAGCGCAGTGCTCTGCCGGCTCGTCTGCTGCCGCAGCTAGCTAGCTAGCTGCAGCTAGCCAGGCTTGCAGCAGGCAGGATAGAGAGGGGGGGTCTGTGGACCTCTCGCCGCGCTGCAGGAGGCACAGAGAGAGGCTGCTGATTATATATATATATATATATATATATATATTAAACATATATATAGCGTGCGTTATACATGTATTTTCTGTACATACGCACAAGTGCATGCAGCTGTGTGTGCTTAGGCAGCGAGCTAGCTAGCCATTTGGCTAGCTAGCTAGCTAGCCAGCGAGCTAGCTAGGTAGCTAGCTAGCAGTCTGCGTAGTGGGAAACACATGAAGGGAGCTAATCCGGCTACCTCTGAGGCAGTCAGGTAGCTAGCTAGCTAGCTATATAGCTAGCTATCTAGCCAGCTATATAGCTAACTATATAGCCAGATAGCTAGCTATATAGCTAGCTATATAGCGATCCCCCGTTAAGAGAGGTAGGGGGAATGGCGGCCGGACCTTCAGCAACTAGCTAGCTAGCTAGCTAGGTAGCTAGCTAGCTAGCTAGCTGGGGCTCTCTAGGCCGCACTTTGAATAGAACAGAGTTCATATATCAAAACTATTATAGGCAGCACCATCAGCAGCAGACACAAACAACAGGGCAGCAGCTGCTGCAGAGTAAAACCCCCAATCAGCACCTCGCCATGCTCCCCCCGAGCAAACCTGCAGCAGCAGCAGCAGCAACAGCAGCAGTAACAGCAGCAGCTGTACTAACAGCAGCGGCAGTAGTAGCAGCAGCAGCAGTGGTAGTAGTAGCGGCAACAGCAGTATTAACAGCAGCAGCAGCAGTGGTAGTAGTAGCGGCAACAGCAGTACTAACAGCAGCAGCAGCAGTGGTAGTAGTAGCGGCAACAGCAGTAGCAGCAGCAGCAGCAGCAGCAGCACTCACCAGCTGGCTGAGTGAAGACGAGACCAGCGCCCCCACGATCTGCGGCTTCCCTCTGCATGCAGCGGCTGTTGATATGCTTCCAGCAGCCTGCAGCACAACTAAAGGCCTCGCGTGGGGTGTATATGCACCTCAGCAGACGCGCATTAAAAGCAACAAATACAGAGGCAGCAGCAGCAGCAGAGACGCAAGCAGCAGCACAGACAGTAGCAGCTGCGGCAGCAAAACTACACCTTCAAACCACGCAAACACGCCACAAAGCAGCAGCGGCAGCAGCAGCAGCAAGCAGTGCAGCAATAGCAGCAGCAGCAGCAGCAGCAGCAGCAGCACACCTTTGAGACCTGGAAGAGGCGACAATTAATCTGTCGGGTTCATCGCCCAGCAGACGCTCCGTATAATTCGTTCTTAGAGGGGCTCTGATGCTGCAGCAGCAGCAGCAGCAGCAGCGGCAGCAGGGTGAGGGAATGCAGCAGATGCTACGGCAGTGGTAGCACTCTATAGCAGCAGCATCAGCAGCAGCAGCAGCAACAAAAACAGCAGCAAGATTCAGTCGCTGTAGCAAAAGCTGCCGTGGTGGTAGCGCTCCAGAGCAGGAAAAAAAGAAACAGCAGCAGCAGAAACAGCAGCAGCAACAGCAGCAGCAGCAGCAGCAGCGTTTACTCGTCTTCTCCTGGAGCAAATGCGCTTGCGGGGGTGACGGTCCTGTCTGCTGCTGCTGCTGCTGCACTTTCTGAATCTGCACCAGCAGCAGCAGCAGCAGCAGCAGCAGCTAGCTGCCGCTCTCTTTCTCTATTTGCGGCCTCCTCCATCGCTAGACGGTCCATCTCCTCCTGCTGCAGCCGACGAGCTAACTCCACACCCATCTGCAGCAGCAGCAGCAGCAGCAGCAACAGCAGCAGCAGCAGGCAGGTGCAGCAGCAGCAAGTGCAGCAGCAAGGTCAGCGAGTGTTGCTGCGCTGCGAGGGCTCAGAAAACCCCTCAAACATACAAACACAAAAACCCAGTCGGAAGCATCGCTCCGCTGCAGCAATAACAGCAGCAGCAGCAACAGCAGTAGCAGCAATAGCAGCAGCAGCAGAAGCAACAGCAACAGCACCACACACCCGCTCTTCTCGCTGCCTCTGCATTTGCTCTGTCTCTGCTGCTTCCTTCTGTAGACGCTCAGCGTATCGCTGCTGATGCAGTTGGCGGTAAGCAGCAAGGTCTGCTGCTGCTGCTGCCGCTGCTGCTGTTGCTGCATCAGCTGCAGCGGCTGCTGCCATAGCTGCTGCTGCTACTGCTGCCTCCCGAGCAGTTTGGCCTCCAGCGGAGGAGGCTGGGGTTCCCTGAGTTGCTGCTGCTGCTGCTGTTGCTGCTGCTGCTGCTGCTGTTGCTGCTGCTGCTGCTGACTCTTGTGCCGTTCCGTGGGGCGCTGCAGCAGCAGCAGGTGCTGCTGCAGCTGTTGCGGCAGGTGCTGCTGCTGCAGCAACAAACTCGCCAGCAGAGCCGGCCCCCTTTTCTTCTTCGTCGCTCATGGTGTGCTAGTGCTTAGTCTCGGCTACATCCGCAGCGCTGCTGCTGCTGCTGCTGCTGCTGCTGCTGCTGCGGCTGCTGTTGCTGCTGCTGTTGCTGCTGATGTTGCTGCTGCTGTTGCTGTTGCTGCTGCAGAGCTTGCTGCTCGTTTTCGAGACAGCCATCGGCAGAGTATGCTGACAGAGACTGCCGGCAAGACAATATGCTAAATTGTTTTGCTGCTGTTGCTGCTGCTGCTGCTCTTGCTACTGTTGCAGCTGCTCGCTCCCTTTGTTGCTGCTGTCGCTTCTGTAGTTGCCTCTACAACTGGTGTTGTTGATGCTCCTGGGTCTGCTGCTACTGTTGTTGCTGCTGGTGCTGTTGCTGCTGCTGTTGCCGTTGCTGCTGCTGTTGCTGCTGCTCTACCTCAAAGGCCCCGTGTTGGCTCTGAGGTGGAGGTACAGTGCAGACGCTCAGCAAAATATTGCGACTGCAACACAATAACTCTTCGCATGCCAGCAGCAGCAGCAGCAATAGCAGCAGCAGAAGCCGCAGCGGCTGCTGCTGCTGCTGCTGTTCTATCAAACTGGGAAGGCCCCGTATTGGCTTTGCTGCAGCAGCAGCTCTGCAGAGAGGCTTCTTTCAGATATAAAAGAAGAAGCGGGAGTCTTTAACAACAGTCTATGTGTGACGCAGCAGCTGCTGCAGCTGCTGTTTCCGCTGCTGTCTCGCCCGAACGCTCGGCAGCAGCAGCAGCTGCAGCAGCGGCCGAAGCAGCAGCAGCAACCCCAAAGCGCTAAGGTTGCGCAGCTAATGACTCTCAAAGAGGTGAAGAAGAAATTAAAAAGTAATAAAAACAACCCGCGCTGCAAAGCGGTAATAATGTACAGCAGCAGCAGCAGCAGCACATGCAGCCCTGTCGTCGGCGATCGACTGCAGCAGAAACAGCCGCAGCAGCAGCAGCAGCAGCAGCAGCCACCAGGGCTACGGAAATGAATCAAATGAGCCAGAAAGCCTCATAACAAAGCCGAGAGCAGCAGCAACAGC